GAGGGGGTCTGGACCCTCCAAGACAAGCCATTTCAGACCCCCCCCCGTGGGAGAACCCTCCAAAACATCGTCCCCACACCCCCCCAGGCCCTCCAGGATAGCCTGGAAGAGACCCCCCCCCGAAATGAGACCCCCCTCCCTTTATTACGAAATCTGGAGTAGGCACTTTGCGAGTAGTGGAACGCGCGAGCCTGGCCCGCCCCCGTGGGGCCACGCCAACGTGCGAGGGGTGTGCTGGCTTCGGTCGGGCGCACGCGTGCGAGCTCACCAGAGAGAGGCCCTCGGTGGAGCTCCCCCTGGGGCCACGAAACGTAGGAGGGGCCTCCTCCTCCTCCTCCTCCTCCTCCCCTCCTCCTCCTCCTCTCCTCCTCCTCCTCCTCCTCCTCCTCCTCCTCCTCCTCCTCCTCCCTCCCTCCCTCCCTCCCTCCCTCCCTCCCTTCTTACTGCAGGCATGGGCGGGCGGGGCAGCCGCACGAAGAGCCCTCGATGCCTGCCGGGGAGAGACGGCCGCTCGACGCCTCCGCCCGGGCACCTCGAGGGCGAAAAGGGTGCCGCCGCTCGCACGCTCGCCCTGGCCAGGAGCGAGGGAAAGGGTTGGTGAGCGTTCTCTGTTTCGGCGCGTCAACAGGAGGAGAAGGAGGAGGAGGAGGAGGAGGAGGAGGAGGAGGAGGGGGAGGAGGAGGAGGAGGAGGGGGGAGGAGGAGGAGGAGGAGGAGGAGGAGGAGGAGTTGGAGGAGGAAGAGGAGGTGGAGGGGGAGGAGGAGGACGACGACGAGGAGGAGGAGGTGGAGGAAGAGGAGGGGGGGGCGGAGGGGGGGGAGAGTGGGGGGGTCTGGCTCCGGACCTCTACTTCATGGGACTGCTTGAAACAGCGCGTGCTATGGGGGAGGGACTGCGCCTGCTCGAAACAGGCGCCAGAAACAGCAAAGATGTATCCACGAGGGGTCGGGTGAGAAGGGGGGGCGAAAGCCCGCGCCAATCGGAAAAACAATGAATAAGAGAACGACGACTTAAGGGGAGACCAATTCGAAGCTTGAGGTTTCGGACGTTTTCGTCGGTCTTTCGGCGGCAGATCCACGCTATCGCATCCGCACGTCCCTAGGAAAGCTGGGTTGACTATCGGACCACACTACTAACGATGAATGGGCGATTGGGGATCGATGCGTTCCCCCTCAGTTTATCCACCCCTGACGTTGCCCCTGACAACAGGAGGCTCTGGCAGGACAGGACACCAGAAGGATGGCTTCTGAATGTTCCACATATGTCCTCGATGTACTCCCCCAGTGCTTCACTTCCTCTCCTGGAGTTCGGCGTCCGCTGGCCCTTCCCAGGACCCAGTGCTGCCGACGTTGGATCCAGGGCGAAAAGTGAGCCTTGGAGAAAGGGTCTCGAGCATGGTGTCTTGGCACGCCTCAGGATCTTCAAACAGTTGTCTCCCAATGGGGCACTTTCCTCGATATATATATATATATATATACATATATATACATATATACACATATATGAAACCTTGTGGATGCCTATGAAGAGGGAGCTTAGAGGGAGGGTGTATTCCAACATCATTGGTGAGTCTTGGGTTTACCCTGGCCCCCCCTCCTCCTCCTCCGTCCCTCGACGCGAGCTGGAGCGGCCACGATTTGCTCAAGAGTTCCCCTGAGAAATCTGGCTGTACCTGGAGTTACCTGGATTTGCCAGGATCTGCCCCTCAACTTATGTGCATTTACGTCGATCTGCATGGCTTGATCCCCACAAGTCCATGGGCGAAAGTCTTCAAGCCTTTGGGGAATAGAGGCCTCTCAAGTGGGGCCCGAGCAGATGGAGTCGGAAGATCGCGCCGCATCGCTGATGTATCGGCAACGTCATCGATGCATTCCCGACATCGGCATGCAGAAAATTGGGCTGCACATCGAGCCGCATCGCCAACTGATCGACGATGCGGCGCAATCTTCCGACCCCGTCTACTCGGAACCCATCTGGGAGGCATAGCGAGATCAGACTGATTGAAAAACAAAACTGAAATTGTTCGCTATGTTCGGCCTCTGGGAACCCTCGTCAGGCCTCGGGACCGTCAAAACACGAATCCGGATTGATAGACGGTCCCCGCGCGCGGGTCGAGATTTCAGGGGGCCCGCACTGAAAAATCAAAGCATCAGATCTCCACGGGGGCCCACGACTGGCGGCGCGCACAAGGGGGTAGGGTTAGGTCGGGCATGTCCGCCTACATACAGGCGGATTTTGGAAGAAAAATAGAATTTAAAAAAAGAACGGCAGAAATAATCGAAAAAGATATCCCCTGACTATTTTCTTACTATCCTTGTATACTCCTCCTGTAGAGGGACACACCCGACTTCAGGGTAGGGGGAGGGGGGCAAGGCTTCTGAGAGGGAGGCTGGTTCTTGAAGGCGCCACTCGGGGATGGACAGAACCCCCAGTTAGAAAAATGTGCTCTAATGAAAACGACCTCGGGCCCAAACCTGGCGGGCGCAAGCCTGGGAAATGA